TTTAGGGGTTTAGGGTTTAGAGCGTTTTCAATATCCCGCGCTTTCAGCTTGGGGGTTCCCACTATGTAGGGTTTAGGGTTTAGGGTTGTAGGCTTTAGGGTTTAGGGGGGGTTGTGGGGATGTTTAGGGTTTGGGGCTTAGGGTTTCGGGCGCGATTCTAAAACATTCAAGCTTCTGGCTGTGGGCATGAGGAGAGACACAGGTGCTCAGGGTGGAACCAAACCCCACTGCCTAGACCCTGAGCCCTCATGCCCTCCCTGCTAAAGGCTTAAGTTGAAACTTTAAACCTTGGGGCTGAGGGCCTACAAGCCAAAACTCCAAAACTTAAGCTTTAGACCCCAACCCCCAAAGCATAAAGATTCAACGCCAAAACCAAGAAACCTAGGTTGAGGGTTTTTGGGCTTTAAGATGTCCAGTCTCGAAGCTGGGAGAAGGATTAAACAGAGGCTCCCGAACTTCTAAATCATGGACACCATGGCGAATGCTATACCTGGGTCCTTTGTGGCTACAAGTTTACATTTTGTCATGATAAAACCCAATCAGGATTAAACATGATCATTTTAATATAGCCCCAACAGGGAACCAGATACGGTATAAGGTTTAGGGTTCATGAATCGTAGTAGAGATCGCAAGATCAAAGCTAGACTTCTGCAGCCTGAGCAATTACCAGCACTATTCAGTGAGGTTCTTTTTGTAAGTAAAGTGCAGTATGCCCCGAAAGCCCTTTTCTAAGTATTGAGCCTCCTACGGCTCCTATGCGCAAGCTCGGTACAACTCCAAGCCTCTGTCGTAAACTTTCAATCCTAGCACGAGCTGCTGAAGGCAAGGACGAAAACTGCTTGCTTGGTACATAGGTGTGTATGTAGGGGTGAATAATTAGTAATAGTATCCCCGTACAGTCCTTAGTCATATACGTAGACTAAACTATCCTCCAAGCCCTGTTCTGATTGCTAAGGCTCCTTGTCTTGAAAACCATTGCTTGGTTGTGTTCGACATATGGGACGAGCAAGCAAGCATCAATATGCGATTCACACTTGGCCTGGAACGCCTGAGAACCCAAAATCCTCGACGAAAACTATTGGTGCTCAATGGGCATCAACGGGGGCCACGATAGGTTTGCATGCAGTCCTTGAGGAGGTTCATTGAGGGGGTCCCCGTGGAAGCTCATGACAACCTTAGATCCCACGAGAGATTCACGACTTTGATGTCGGTCGCGAAAGGTGTAGTAGTGTAACCCTGTAACTCTTTAACTCCACAAGTCTCCCTAGTTAGGAGGAGGAAAGGCAACGACCAATGGTGTAGTACTGATGCTCGGCAATGCAACGGAAGAGTGCCCCTTGGTGCCGAACCCTATTCCAAGCTGTTGATTTGTCACTTCGCTTGAGTGACGACGCGTGTGCCTCGCTTATGCCAAGGACCTGCACTTTCATAACCAGCCACGACTCTACCTTTAAGCACAAGTCAGTCAGATCACGATGCCGGAGATTTTGGACGGTTTACGCTTTAGCCTCATGTGCGACTGGGCTCAAACTGAACTGCATTCTCAGCTGCTCCCCTTGCTGTCTCTCGGTTTCACATCGCCACAACCAACCAATTTCAAGGCCGGCTCGGGTTAGCACATGTCAGTTGGTATATACTGCTGAAGTTCCCCACGGATTCAATGCAACTACACTGAGCCCGACCCTATACTACTTGCGCCCAAAATCGAGCCCCAACAGCCCACACCCCAAGCCCAACCCTAAGCCTACACCCGCACTCTAAGTCCCCACAGCCCAAACCCACCAGTAGTCCCCACGAAGCAATTCAGGTGGTTAAAAGCTGTCGCAGGAACTTTTGATGTCAGCCGAGAGTTGTTAGCAAGTCTCATGCATGCACAGGCGAGCTTGATCTCGCAGGGAGAATCTACGATAGTACTAAACCCCTAAACCCCTACACCCCTAAACCCCTAAACCCTAAACCCTAAACCCTAAACCCTAAACCCTGGACTAGACGCTAAACCCTATAAATGTTCATGCACTATAGCTGCATTCTGAGACTCAGGGAGGCGCAGTCTGTAAGCTTCGTTTGGAGTTGCTCAGGGTTTCGGTTTTTCCCGGCTCACATTACCCAAGGGCTCCTAAGTAGTTCTTTTTTGGATAGTATACATAATTCCTTACCAAGGAACCATAACAGACCTAAAAAGGAACTACATTGGAGCCCCTGGGTAAGACCAAGAACCCACAAAGCTTCTTCTTGGTTCCAGTCAGAGATGCTGTGGCACACAGCCTCCCCCCGGAAGAAAAAGCTTCCGATCTGCAGTCATCCTACGGGCTAAGCTAACATGAAACCCTACACCCTGAACTGGCTGTGGCACAGGTCTGGTCTACTGTTTTTGCGATGCCTGCGCTGTGCCCAGCTTCTTCAACCACTTTAGAACTTTAGGAGTTGCTCGCTCCCGGCAGAGTTCCATGATAGCTGACTGAAAGTATGTTTAGGGGTTTTGCGTTCTGGGTTGAGGCTTCAGGGTTTATTTAAACCCGATAAAACCTTCCTTTTTGGCGCTCCGTTTTGTGATTTCCTGCTATGAGTGCTTTGTTAAAAGTAGGGTTTGGGTACCAGTGGTTAGGTTCGCCGGACCACACTCTTCCGTCGAGGTTGGTTCCCGCCGGGGTCAGTCACCGGATCGGAGCACTTCTCTCTCTCTCTCTCTCCTTTTGCCTCCCTCGCTCTCGCAGATTTTCCGACTGTCTATCTGACTGTCTGACTGTCTCTCTCCTGCCCGTCTCTGTCAGCCTCTGCTGTCTGTTTGTTTGTCTGTCTCTCTCTCTCTCTCTTTCTCTCTCTCTCTCTCTCTCTCGCTCTCTCCCTCTCTCTCTCTCTCTGTCTCCACGCCTTGGCTTTCCTCTTGTGCTAAATGCACACCAGGCCCGACTGTATATACCTACCTACCTATTGTAGTAGATGTGTGTTCCTGCGTGGCCGTATATGTGTATGTACGTTTACATATTTGAGATTCAAGCACCTGGAGCTGAAACTAGTGATCGGCTTACAGAAACAGGGGTTGCTTAGCAAAAGTCCACGGCCGTTAGGGCAGGTCAAACGGTCACAGCTGCGGAAGTTCAGGGCTCACGCTGTATGCCTGCAGCAGTCATGGTTGGTTTAGGGTTTATAGGGTTTAGGGTTTAGGGTTTACTAGCAACAATCCCGCACTGCCAGCTCATGAACCTAAGTAAGGTCCGTTTACGGGAGCTGACGACATTCCGAAACCGTAAACCTCGACAGCATGGGATTTTCGATGGTTTGCCTTCAACCCGCTGGCCCATTTAAGCTGATGCCTTCGCCTTCAACAGACAATGATCCCAGAGACTCCAATATCCCTTAATTAAGGAATATACCTTAAATCATACTAAGGATCCTACTATGAGTTAAGGTATATTCCTTAATTATAAGGGATATTGGAGTCTCTGGGATTCTTGACCCACTAGCAAACCCCAAACTCCTAAAGTCTGACGCTCAACGGCTTTCTGGAGGTTCAGGGCGGTTGAGGGTGTCGGAATCTCCCCGATCATTTCACAACCCTAAACTTCCCTAAACCGTAAACCCCAAAGCCTAAACCCTAAACCTTTCGGGCTTCAAGGGACCCTACGAAACCAAAATAGCACAGAGACTCAGGAACCGTCTGGAGCTTCCCGTCCGAGCATCGGTCGCTGTGAGAAGTCCGGCGACTCTGGCACTTTTGCCAGGATTTAAGATCTGGATTATACTACCCGCATCCTGAAAGGTAGTACCTTTTGTCTTGCCTGGTTGTCTTAATAAACGGTTTGTGGTTTGGGGTTCAGGGTATCGCATTCCGAAATCCTGTGGCTCCTTGGGGATGTTGTTGTTTTTTGTATTTGGGTTCAATCTTCCTCAGTCGCCGACACCCGAGGTCTATGGTATGCATGGTCCTGCCCTGTGTAGGCTTTAGTTTTGCTCAAACAGGGTTGCCGCAGGGCTCCACACAGAGAGCCGCTACATACAGGCAAATGTTCCTGCAAAGGATGCACCCCGTGGCCTGCGGAATTCGTTCGAGAAACATCGGGTGGTGCTACAAATACTAACTAGAGCACGAAGCGCACCATTCATGCGAATACCGCAAAGCACGATAAGCCCTAAACCAGCAAAGGCTAAACCCCGAAGAACAGCCTGAGCACTAAAAGACAATTTATATACATAAGTTAGCCCTTAAAGCTTTGAAACTCCCTAATCCCTTAATCCGTCTCCACCCTTTTTCAACACCCGGAATCCTAAAGACCCGCCCCAAGCCAGGTGCTGCGCTTCAGGACGGCAACCAGGTTGGTCCATCCATATGTCTGGCTGACGTGGGGATGCAACAACCTCTTGTTGTCAAGCCTTTCTACCATATAGTTGCGAGGTCAGAACCTACACTTTTGTAGAATTTGGGGCCACGGGTAGATGTTGTCTAGTACTGTACTTCCGGGCCCTTGCTTTAAAACTAGAACAGAACAGACATCAAGGTCCCACTCGAATTAGCAGTTCTTTCGCCACTAAGTTCAGCTGCCTACATGCTTGCCTGCCTACATCCAACCCCAAACCTTAAACCCTAAACCCTAGAACCCTAAACTCTAAACCTTAAACCCTAAACCCTAAACCCTGTGCCGCAGAAGGCGGAGTGCAGTACAGATTGCAATATTCTGCAACCTGCGAGGTTGCTGCTGCACTTCTGCTTCTATTCCCCTGAGGGTCCATGTGCCCAAATCGTATATACCTTGACCCCAAAGTACTTATATTAGGGACTACTTTAAGGCCAAAGTATATCTATTTGGGTACATGGACCCTTAGGGTTCTGCAGTTACGGTTCTGGGTTCAATGTTTAGGCTTTCGGCTTTAGGGTTTTGTGCAGTTAACTGTTGCCGATGTTGTCGAGCAGGGGGGGTTGCTGCCACAGGTTTTGCGAGCAGGTTCGTACTCCTTTTGAGGCAGCCCTAAACCCTAAACCCTAAACCCTAAAAGTCGAAACCTCAAGCCGTGTGAACCCCGGGCCCCACCCTCAAAATCAGACCAGATACAGATCTATTGAACAGGTTTGGGACGAATTCGTGGCTCGACGTGGGCGCCAGGCCGTTTGCTACACTGCTGACAGCTCTATAAACCTATGGTACGAAAGCCTTTCTCTTCCGTAGTACGTCATTTGCCATAATAACTTCACTCTTGTCTTTTCGCTCTTGGAAATACAAAGTCTCGTAGGTCTTAAATCTTGCGGGTTTATGAGTTTAGGACTGTTGGATTCGAGGATACTTCAAAGTTCAGGTTTGGCGGTGCAGGGCTTAGAGGTTTAGGACCCAGGACCGTGGGTCCAGTTTGTAAAAGTTCGTTGTTGCAGTTTGCTTGCTCTTTACTTTTTCCTGAGGGTCCATGTACCCAAATAGTATATACATTGGCCCCAAAGTACTTATAAGGGGACTACTTTAAGGCCAAAACCCTAAACCCTAAACCCTAAACCCTAAACCCAAAGTCTATCTACTTGGGTACAGGGACCCTTCGGGCTTTACATTTTCCATGAAGGACAAATCCTAACTTCGGATTCCAAATTTACCACTCCTATTGTTTGGGGTTTAGGGTTCAGGGCAGCATCTTAAGGATCTATGCTTAGGCCACGCAGCGTCTAAACCACCCTGTGAAGCAGTATATAAAATCCTATAGCGCAGTTTGCAGGACCGGTTTTCCAGATCCGCGCCGGGTCTGAACAGATATCAAAACCGCAAACCCAATTCCCTAAACACGAACCCCTCAGCGCCAGACCCTAAACCATCCAAAACGCATAAATCCCAAGCCCAACCCTAAACCCTGAACCTTAAAAGCCCAATCGACCCACAAACCCTAAACCCTAGAACCCTAGAACCCCAGAACCCTGAACCTTAAAGCCCCATCACCCGAACCCGCCAGGCCGCCTCTTTGCAAGATTTCGAGCTGGGACGTACCATTGGCAAGGCCGACTCTATTCGGGTTTTTGGGGTTTAGAGTTTAGGGATTTAGGGTTTAGGGTTTAAGGTTTAGGGTTTAGGGTTTAGAGTTTAGGGATTTAGGGTTTTTGGGGTTTGGAGTTTTGGGTTTAGGGGTTTGGGGTTTAGAGTTTGGGGATTCGGGTTGCGGAGTTCGTGGTACCTCAGGGTTGTTGGGGGGGTTCCTTTAGGGGTTCCTCGGGTGGGGGGTCGATATATAGGGTGTTTTGGGTTCCTGGAAGGGTTCCTTTAACAATTTCTATAAGCATACTATAGGGGTTTTGGGTTCCTCTATTCTAGCGGTTTCATAACGGTACTGTAGGGTCTAGGTTTCGCGCTTAGGCTGATAGGGTTGGGGCTTGGGGGTGTGGGGTTTAGGCTTGAGCGCCGGATGTCGGGAGCCTTCATCAGCTGCTACACCCTGCACGAGGCCATAAAGCCTTAAATTGTCTGTTGAAGCCATCAACCGTACTCCCTCCGACTACACAACCAAACCCTAGAGGGTCGGAACCCTCGAATCCTCCAAGTCCTAAGCTCAGGAAGTTTACCTCCAAAACCCTAGCCCTCAAGCCTCTTAGGGGCCGGAATTCTTTTCGCATATAGCTTCTCGCAGTATCCAGCATGCGGTGTAGGGTTGAGTGTAGATAGGACCGATAAAGGCCGTGCACACCAGACGGTACTGTCAGAATTCCAAAGCACGCAGCAGGCTGCATGCGCCAGAATCCGAGACCCGCCATTAGTCATTGCACCCTAAACCCTAAACCCTATAAACCCTAAACACGGTTTAGGGTTTAGGGTTTAGGGTTTAGCGTAGCAGAGCACCACAAGCTTTCCACATCATCCAGGGCCGCTATGCGCGGGTGCGACAGGCTTCCCTGAAGGAGCACAAGGACGGGGGTTTCAGGGTCTAGGGTTTAAGGTTTAGGGTTTAGGGTTAATCGTGAATACTACGAGCCATACCAGCGCAAGGAGTAGCGCGTCCCTGCAGCAACATGCATAATTATTAGTTGCCTCACCAAGACGACGACTACTACTGCTGCTGCTACTACTACTCCTCCTGCTGCTGCTGCTTCTACTTCTACTTCTACTACTACTACTCCTACTCCTACTCCTACTCCTACTCCTACTCCTACTACTACTACTACTACTACTACTACTACTAGTACTACTACTAGTACTACTACTAGTACTACTACTACACTACGACTAGTTACCACTAGCACTACCACTACTACTGCTGCTACTACTACTACTACCAAAACTACTACTACTACTACTACTACTACTACTACTACTGCTAGTACTACTGCTAGTACTACTGCTAGTACTACTGCTAGTACTACTGCTACTACTACTACTACTACTACTACTACTAGTAGTATTAGTACTAGTACTAGTCCTAGTACTAGTACTACTACTCCTCCTCCCGCTGCTGCTGCTACTACTACTAAGTAC